CCCTCGCACACACACATACACGTAATTGCTCATCCTCCCTCAGATATCATCAGTGCCTGAAAGGAGCCATCCTTGACTGCATTTCCCTTTTACAGTCTCCTAGAGTGCTCATCCCAGTTTGCAATTATAAATATCCATTTATTTGATTATTAAATTTATTATTTTTATCCAATTATTTGCTTTTCACCCCATAACTAGAGGGCAACGACTGGGCCTGTAAAGTTCACTTTTTTTTTTTTGATGAGCAAGATTAGACCTGAGCTAACAGCTGTGCCCATCTCCCTCTATTTGATATGCGGGACGCCTGCCACAGCATGGCTTGATAAAGTGGTGCATAGGTCTGCACCCGGGATCCGAACCTGCGAACCCCAGGTGCCAAAGTGGAGTGCGTGAACTTAACCACTACGCCACCAGGCGGACCCCTTGCAATGTTCACTATTTTATCCTCAGTGTCCAGCAATATATCTGGCACATAATAGGGGCTAAAAGAAAGGGTTTATTAAATGAATTATCATTTTGCTCTTTGTAGCTTAGTCTATCTGCCTGAGAAGACTGGACAAGGTCCTCATGAAGCCTGCACTTAATCCAGCCTCCCTCCTCTGTTCCCTCCCTCTCTCTCTTTCTTTCTTAAAAAAGAGGAGAGAGATAGGAAGAAGGGGATAGTGGGGAGAAGGAGCTCTGAGAAACAATGCAAGAAACAAGAAAATTTCAAAAAGAAGACTATCAATAAGACAAACTGTCTTCATGAAATAAGAACAGGACGATAATTTTTAAAAAAGAACTATCAGAGAACTCTCCTGGAAATTAAAATTAAGATAGCCAAAATAAAGAATTCAAGAGGAAAAATGGAAAATAAAGTTGAGGAAATTTCTCAGAAAACAGAACACAAAGACAAAATTGATGATGACAATGACAATAATACTTAAAACCTACATATATAGCAATTACCATGTGTAGACACTGAACAAAGCCTCACGACTACTCTCTGAGGAAGGTACTATTCTTATTTTCAAAATGGAAAACAGGAAAGATAAAAAAATTAAAGAATCAGTCTGGGAAATCTAACAGCTGACTAACATCTTTTGCTTTCAGAAAGAAATAGAAAAATACAGTGGAAAGGAAATGATCACATGAACACACCCAAGAACTGAAGGACCAAGGAACAGAAAGGATAGAACCCCCGATTTGGATTTAACAATCCAAGTGGAAATAACTACAGATGCAATTAAATAATATCTTGGATTCTCAGGGGAAAATATAAGGACTAGGTGAAGATATAGCTGAAATAAGACCAGCCAAGATTTTTGTATGGGCGCACGAATTTTGACATACTCATTAAGACATGAGTGGAGGCGCCAACTATACAACAGGTGAGAAAGTCAGGCCTGAAGATAAAAATTTGGAAATCAATGGCATTTAAAGGCATGAGGTTAGATGAGATCACCCAGCGGGGAGAGAGAGTGAAGATGGAAAAGAGCAGAGGATCTAGAACGGACCCTTAGAGCACTTTAACATTTAAAGATCAAACAGCAGATATTTTACCTTTCAGTTGTGATAAAGCCACAATATAACATATATTTGAAACAAAGATAACATATTTCTATGGATGTATATTTAAAGGATAATAGGCTCTTAGCTGCAGTACATAAGAGAGCTTTTGTCATATTTGCCACTGAAAGTACAGGCTACAGGAGAAGAGATTTGTTTCACGTAGATTAATGATTATCTGTGAGCTATAACTGCTTGAAAAGGTATTTTGGAATCAGTACACAGGAATAAAAGGTGAACAGAGGAGAGTAATCAAGTTCACTAGTTCCAGAGAAATGTTATAACAAGATAGCATTTCTCAAAAATTAAAAAGTCTAACAAGGGTTGGTGAGAAGGTATGGAAAAAGAACTCTCATCTGCTGCTGGTGGGAATATAAAATAGTAAAGCCTCTTTGGAGAGCAATTTTGCAATTTGAGCAAAATTTAAACCCAGCTATTTTTAACCCAGCAATTCTACTTCTAAGTATATGACTGTCCTACAGAAACCTTTACACATGTGCACAAGTGAAAAGACATTTACAGCAGCACAGTCACAGCAAAAACTGAAACAACATAAATGTCCATCAATGGGGGAAGAGAAAAATAAAATGTGATGCATCCATATGATGGAATACTATCCAGTAGTTAAAAAATATATTTATCATGGGTATATTTCAAAATCCAAGGATAAATAGGAAAAATCATGGAGAACAGTATATAGTATAATAATACCATTTATACAAATTTTAAGATTCATATTAGTGGTTACCTCTGGGGAGTGAGACAAGGAAATGGAATTGGGAAGGCACATTAAAGGAGCTCCAACCTTAGTAATACCGTTTTATTTCTTTTATGATATAAAAACTGAGGCAAATATAACAAAATGTCAAATTGTGTTGGTTCTGGGTGATAGGTACACAAGAATCTACTATATTATCCTGTAATTGGGGAAAAAAGAGGCTGCACATACACTGCTTTATTCATAGGAGAAAATAAGGCAGAAGAAGTTGCATGTTTTCTGATGTTGATTCAGTAAAGGAAATACTGAAGACTTTTAAAATAAGTTTATCATGGTCAACTAAATATGTATCTTTTCAGCATGTTGCAGGAAAAATAGAGAGTAAATATGAAACTTTCGATGCTGGCTGTAAAAGGCAAGAGTATTTACTTAAGCTTTCAAAATGACAGTTAAGACTAGACTATTTCTTCATGGTACTGAATACATGGCCTGTTCAAAAGGTATACATCTAGATTATACATCCAGTATTTAAAGAGCCTAACTACATCACTTGCAGGCTGAAATGACACAGTTTTTAAGAAGAGGTAAAAACAGTTTGATTGTCATATTTTTTTACTCTTTCCCAATTTATAATTTTCTTTAGTAACTGAAGAAACTGATGATATATTCATTATTAGGCATATTAAAAAACCACATCCAGGAGAGAAGTCAAGGTGGCAGCGTAGGCAGACTCTGAACTCACCTCCTCCTGCGGACACAGCCAATTTACAACTACTCGTGGAAAAATTACCCCTGAGACATAACTGAAAACTGGATAAGAGGAACTCCTGCAAAAACGGACAATCCTAACTGAGGTAGAAGAGGCAGAAACTCCTTTCTGGAGAGGAAAAACGCCAGCTTCACGAGCTGCAGCGCCTCACGGCTGCCCGGGAGCAGCCCACAGGTACGCAGCCTCCCCGGAGGAGCGGGGCCCTGAGCCAGGGAGCGCCCCCGCTGTGGGCATTTTGTGGACCCAGCACAATCGAGGCGAGTGGCATAATATCTGACTTTGCCTGCTACTAAA